GGGACATTCCCCCCACTGACCCCCAATGTAAGGGACATTCATGTAATGAATCCCTATTGGTCAGTGGGGAGCATACACAGGAATCGGGGGGGTTCTGGCCTCTCCTGGTGGGGGTCCGTCTTCCAGGAGGGTGCTCCCCCTCTGCTCCCCTCATGTGGTCACCCCCGTGGCGGTCGCTCTTCCTTTATATGGCAGTCATGACATTTCTGGGTTTTGTATTTCAGTTCCTCTGGAGCCGCGGGCCGCGTAACCCTCCAGAGATGACGGCGTGGCTGCTGCGCTGCATTGTGATCCTGCTGGGCGTTGCGGCCCATCTTCACCCGGCCGGCGCCTTCCCCTTCATCCTCACCCAGCTGAGCACCCGTAAGAGCAGCTGCAAGGCCATCCCCAGCAGCATGACCCTGTGCCACGCGGTGGGCTACGGAGAGATGCGCCTGCCCAACCTGCTGGGCCACGACACCATGAAAGAGGTTCTGCAGCAGGCCGGGTCCTGGGTGCCCCTCCTCACCAAGCAGTGCCACGCCGACACCAAGAAGTTCCTGTGCTCCCTGTTTGCCCCCGTCTGCCTGAGCGACCTGGAGGAGGCCGTCCACCCCTGCCGATCCCTCTGTGAGGAGGTCCGCGACGGCTGCACCCCCGTCATGGCCGCCTTCGGCTTCCCCTGGCCCGAAATGTTTAACTGCAGCCAGTTCCCCGAGGGCAACGAGCTGTGTGTGCCCCCCGCTGGCCAGGATGAGAAGCCGCTGGTGGTGAAAGAAGGTGAGTGGCTCTGGTCAGGACTCGGGGGTCCGGAGGTGACAATTACCCATAATGCATGCCGGGCCTGGAGGTGCCAAACACAGGACATTGTGATTATCAATAAAGTTTTATCACAATATAGGAGATGTGGGCAAAATGTATTATGCTGTTTTAGATTCGGAGGCAACGAGCCGTGTCCCCAGAGCAGCATACATGCGTGTCCCCAGAGCAGCATACATGCGTGTCCCCAGAGCAGCATACATGCGTGTCCCCAGAGCAGCATACATGCGTGTCCCCAGAGCAGCATACAGGTCAGGACTCGGGGGTCCGGAGGTGACAATTACCCATAATGCATGCCGGGCCTGGAGGTGCCAAACACAGGACATTGTGATTATCAATAAAGTTTTATCACAATATAGGAGATGTGGGCAAAATGTATTATGCTGTTTTAGATTCGGAGGCAACGAGCCGTGTCCCCAGAGCAGCATACATGCGTGTCCCCAGAGCAGCATACATGCGTGTCCCCAGAGCACTATACCAGCATACATCTCACCGATTGGCGTGTGGGTCTCTGCAGGGCGGTGGCTATGCTGTGTGGAGAGTGCCGTCTCCGGGGGCTGTCTATGGCTGTGCCGGGAAGGAGGAGGCGATATAGAACCTGACAGACACTGCCAGGCCCACCGCACCCCAAACGCGGGAACCACTGGGGTTTAAATATTTAAAGGGCATCCCAACTCAGAACCACAAGCCCAACATGGCTTATTAGTACTGGCCCAGGGGGCAAATGCCCCCCAGCCTGGCCTAGGTCCTCCCATCCTCCCCTTCAGTCTTCTATCTGACCTCCGTCCTCCCCTTCAGTCTTCTATCTGACCTCCGTCCTCCCCTTCAGTCTTCTATCTGACCTCCGTCCTCCCCTTCAGTCTTCTATC